AAAAAAAAAAAAAAAAAAAAAAAAGAGGGCATAGAGAATTGGCCAGAGACCTGGCAGCCCTCAGGTATGAATGCTGGCCAGTAAAGCACAGATTCAGCAGTTATCTTAGTTCACATTGCCTACTTCAGGTCTTGTCCTGTCATTCCAGATGTAGTCTGCTAAATGCAGAATTAGCCCTCTTTTCTGGGGAAATGAGAATGATAGGAATTTTTCTGACCAGCAGGAGGACCTTCATACCACAAACCTACAGGGTCTAGAGGACCTGCTGCTGGTGGATGGGCAGACCAGGCTGTCACTCTCACCTTCCCACACCTTGCAGCAGGAAAACAGGTTATGCTAGATGCAGAAGGGATGCTCACTGTCAGAGGTGCTCTGTCCCTTCCTCAGTGAGGAGTTTGCACAAGCTGCCACATTTTTGCATGGTTTGTAGCAGTGGCTCTCCAGAAGCCGTTGCTGACTAGACACATCCCCAGGTAGTCAACCAACTTAGAACCTTCCCGTGCTTAGACCCTGCCTATGTGGGACTCTTCTTGGTCAAGCTTCCCAACAGCCGGCCTGTAATCCCAGCACTCGGGAGGCTGAGGCAGGAGGATCATTGTGAAGTGCATAGTGAAATCCTGTCTCAAAAAGACAAAAATAAAACAAAACAAACAAACAAAAAAAAACCCTACCCAATACCAGTGCAGCCCCTGCCTGTGGCTGAGACACTGTCTCCGTGGAGTTGATGCATTCTGGTTGGTTTGACTGGATGTATTTCTTCAGGTCCCACTCCAATCCCTGGCCTCTAGTTGGACAGTTTGCCTACAAACCACACCTTATACCTTCTTCTCCAGCTATCTCTGCTGCTCCAGCAGGGGTGTTCGTGTCTTCTGGATGCATGACAGACAGACACTGTTTTCTCCTTCAGCAGTCTGTTGGACACTGGGCTGGGTAGAGGCAAGCAGAGACAAATGAGAGCCTACAGCCTGGGATGGAGGAGTCAGATAAGCCAATGGTTGCAGCCTCATGGGAGGGGCTAGGTGTGCTTGGGGGCTTTGGGAGCTGGAGCTGGAGCAGGAGCAGCAGCACTGGAAAGCAGCCTTTCCACAAGACCTGCTGCCACGCTCTCCTGCTAGCACTGAGAAAAGGAGGAGCCAGCCAGGAGAAGGGCAGAGTGGGTGTTCATAGCACACTCAGGGACTCATGAGTCATCTGTTATGGCTGCATGTAGGGTGTACAGGAGGACGGTGAAGTAGGGGAAGTAGCTCACTGAAGTGCTTGGATTTCTTTTTTCTTTTTCTTCTCTTTTTTATTTTATTTTATTGTTTTTTAAGATAGGGTCTCTCTCTGTAGTCCAGACTGGCCTTGAACTCACTGTATAGCCCAGGCTGACCTCAAACTTGTGGCAGTCCTCCTGCTTCAGCCTCCTGGGTACAGGGACACACCACCACACCCAGCTTGGATTTCTTTTTTTTTTTTTTTTTTTTTTCTTGTAAAGAGTAAAAGAAGGATAACATAATAATGGCGGGGGGCCTTACCAAATTACAGACAAAGTGGTAGGAAATTATCAATGGTTATTGTTTTACA